ACTCTTTGCTTTCTACTCCTACAGATGACAGGAATTATTCTAGGACATCATTAAAATACCAGGGCAAGGTAATGATCTTTCCATAAATACACTTCCCACCTTAGGTGGGTCTCCATGTTAAAGCTGTGACACAATCTCTACTGGCCCATAAGTATTTCCAATGTATGAAAAAAAGATCAAACCATTGTGTGTACGAACACAGGGAATAATCAAAGGAGGTAAAAAGCTTGTGGAACAAAGTAATTACAATTACTGTGTGTGGCTGTGTGTGCTTCTACACTCATCATTGCAAATGCATAACTCACATGCAGCCTGACAGCCAATGACTCACCGTGATGTACTGCAGCACTTGTTTCAAGGCCAAATAAAGGGAATGACAACAAGAACCTCCCAACAATGGAAGAACCAACTGGTTTCATCAGTTTCGTGTGGTCATGAAAATGCTTACCTTTTAAACCTGTAACTTCATTAATAAACGGCAAAGTATATACAGGTGTTTAAAAATTAGTTGTTCTTCCTCCCTTTCAGGAACAGGTTACCTCCTGACCTTTCCTTCCCCAAACTTTTCAGTCACAGGAATAATTCCAGAATTACTTCAGCAAAAGCAGCTCGATGAAGCATTTAAGTTTACTAAAAATTAAACTCTAATTGGCTTAGAAGCACGACATCTGCTAACCATCCATGCAAGTGATGCCTGGCACCTTTTGGAGGACACACGCTTCCGTAAACATGCTGGGAGATGCCAAGAGAAAAGCACTCGTGGGGGCATACGACCTCCAGTGGCTCGCGACCACCGCGGGCAGCTGCCTCCCCCCTGAGAAGGGGCCTGCCGTTCCGCTTCCCACTTCCACTTGAGGACAGCGTGCTCGCGCTTACTCTGCTGATGAGCAGAGAATGACCTCTGGTGCATTTCTGGTGAATACGCCCGTTTAGCAAGAAACCTTCGACACCAGAGTATTTTAAAAGAGCAACATAAAATGACTTATCTCTAGTTGTTATATTTGATGAAGTGTATTTAATCAAAGTGATGCCGCTTCAAATAATTTGATCATTTTAAAATAATGGCTTGTTAACTGGTCAGGCTTAAAAGTATGTAAACATGATGCTTTTTGCTCTACAGGATTGGGATCTAACCCAACAATATTTTCTTTATGTGCAAGGGCTTCAGATAACATATTCAAAGTAATCAGCTCTAGGGAAAACATAAAGGAAGGCAGAACTTATCAAAACACAATACCAATAATCAGACACCTTGTTACTTACGATCAGCTGCTTCAGGCCGACAAAGGACTGCTCCACGGAGCTGGCGGTCAGGACCTGCCTCTTGGCTGCTGCCTTCTCACCCAGGAAGCGGAGCATTAAGTCTTTAACTGCATCTCCCTTGAAAGAATATAAGAAAAATATGTCAGAACCATAGAATGCTACTTAAATCTGGCTAATCAGAACCCATAACTAACCAAACTTCTTTCTTCTCCATTGGTGTGCGGGGGTAACCTATGGTTATATACACGGTGGGATGTCAATTAGCCAGATGCTGAAGTGTCACCACCTGTGCTGAGATGCGTCCCTTAGACCTGTTCTTCTTTGGGAGAGGAAGCTGAAACGACCCGCCACCCGTACCGGCCTGACATGGCACCCCAGGCCAGGACGTGGGCTTTGTGCAAGGGCTGGAGGGGGCTGCTCAAGTGGGAGCTAAGACTCTGGGGACAGAAGGCTGAGAGGAGAACGTGAGGGCTGCGCTGAGGCCGGGGCAGGCGGGCCTGATGGGCACTCTGCTCAAATCCCAGCAATCGGCCAGCTTGCCTGCGCTTCCGGGAAAGCCTCTGGGGTCCACCTAGGAAGTTACCTGTGGCTCAGGGTCCCCTTCCTCCCAGTGTTGACCCCACCCAAGCCCGGGGGCATGGAAGAACCCCTCCTCAGACAGGCCCTTGGCACAAAGGAGTCACACTACGTGTGCGGAAGGGCCCGCACAAGCCTCTGAGCAGGAAACCTGGCCCCACAGATGGGGCTGCGGCACACGAAGTGGAATGTGAAGCCTGTCACTTCAAAGGGAAGAAGGCTGGCGTGGATGTGAAGAGAAGGGAGCTCTTGCGCACTGTTGGGAGTGTAACTGGGGCATCACTATGGAAAACAGTGCAGAGGATCCTCAAGAAATTAGTAATGGAACCACCATATGATAAAGCAATCCCACTTACTGGTATCTACCTTTACAAAGCAAAATCATAAACTTGAAAAGGCATCTGCACCCCTACGTTCACTGCAGCATATTTATAACAGCCAAGACACAGAAGCAACCTAAGTGCCCGTTGATGGTGAAGGGATAAGGATGTGACGTTATATATACACAACAGAATACTATTCAGCCACAGAAAAGAATGAAATACTGCCACTGTGACGTGGATGGACCTTGAGCACCTTACACTGAGTGAAGAAAGCCCCACAGAGGACGAAAGACACTGTACAATCTCACTTACCAAGCCCACAGACACAGAGAAGAGTTTGGTGGTGGCCAGAGGCAGAGCAGAGGGAGGGAGGGGTGGGCAAAAGGGATGAAGGGGGTCACCGGGTACAAACCCCCAGTTATAAAACAAGTCAGTCCTGGGGGGTCAGTATAGCATGGTCACTATAGTTTGTGACATTGTATTGCAAATTTGAAAGCTGTTATGAGTAAATTTAAAAGTTCTCATGGTAAGAAAAAAAATTCTTAAGTCTGTTTGGTGACAGATGCTAACAGACTTACTGTGGCGGTCATTTGGCAACACATACAAACAGTGAATCATGTTGTACACCTGAAACTAATATAATTTTGCACATCAAATATACTTAATACAGAAAAAGTGTTTTTTAAACAGCGGGAAAAAGAACTAAAGAAGGATGGAAGGGCAATGGGGGCAGGGTGTTCTGGTGAGGCCGGAAGGGGCTGGCCTGGCCTGGGTGAACAGGGAGAGACCTGACCTCCAGGGGCCGGTGAACAGGGCCAAGCCTTCCTCCTAGGGCAGCACAAAGCCTTTCAGCCCCGGGCAGTGCATCTAGTGCTGCCAGCGACAAGCGGGGAACAAGCAGGGACAAACTGACTGAAGGCGGAGAGAAGCCTGAGGACGGGAGGCCTGCAGCCATCCATGCCTGGCCCGGAGGCTTCCTACTGTTTTCCTACTAATTGGGAAAATAAAGGCACAGTGTAGTTCACTTAGACACAAGGTCAGTCCTCCATCATCATTCCAGGTGGTGACACTTAAAACGCCACAGGGGATGGTGCACAGGTGACACAGAAAAGCTGCTGCAGTGTCTGCTGCCACCTTCCACAAGAGAGATGGTGGGGACCCTGGGCCATGCATCTGGTCCTGGCCTGGGCGCTAAACCCAGTGCCAAGAGGCCAACCCACTCTTCCCTACATGGGGAAAGATCTAGAAGCAGCAGTTTAACGATTTTGTTTTTATAGAGGAAGAAATACTTTAAATGCCAGAGCTATACAAGTGGCTGGCTGATCTAGGAGGGATAATTAGAGGGCAGAACAAAGAGAGCTCAGCCACATGGCTACGGAAAGCCTGGCACAAACACAGCTCCTCACGGACAAGAGGTTTTACAGCAGTCAGAGGAGCCGCAGACCAGCAACTGGCAAACTCGATTTCATGCTGCACAGAGAGGACCAGTTTAACTCCTTCATGCTGTGACTAAGGAGACCCAGGCGGCTGACTCGTGGAGTCTGGGCTCCACTGTCTGGAAACCTAAAGACACAGGGACCCTGGGCAGGGGGGCTGAAGGGAGCAGCACTTGACCCAGGACCCACCACGCAGAGCTTTCTGCTGCGGTGCCGGCAGAAAAGAGCAGCTGTTTATTCTGGAAGCATTCTGCTCTCTTGCCCC